ATGTTTGAAAATAAACTGAAGAACAATAAATATCAGTTTGTTTCTAATCTTCAAAAAACTCACTTGTAGACAGTGTATAGACCATTCAGTCGATAAGCATGTGGCCACAAAAAGAAGCATATGTGTGTGTGTGTGTCGGTGTGTATGAAATAACTGCAGTGGAGTAGCCTGGTACCTGGGACACTTTAGGGAGAAGATAAAAATCTCAATTGGCTTTCAAAATTAAGAAAAAAACCCATAATGCTTTATGCAATCAAACGAAGAATTCTTCAGTGCTAAATGTAATGTACCGTTGGGGTGCACGAGTTACGCAGACTCATCTTTGTTCTGCATGGACACCCTGGACACCCTGAGGTCTTCGCTCATTTGTTCTATGTCTTTTATTGGCTATACATGTAGATGTATATACGTACTTCACTCATTTGTTCTATGTCTTTTATTGGCTATACATGTAGATGTATATACGTACTTCACTCATTTGTTCTATGTCTTTTATTGGCTATACATGTAGATGTATATACGTACTTCACTCATTTGTTCTATGTCTTTTATTGGCTATACATGTAGATGTATATACGTACTTCACTCATTTGTTCTATGTCTTTTATTGGCTATACATGTAGATGTATATACGTACTTCACTCATTTGTTCTATGTCTTTTATTGGCTATACATGTAGATGTATATACGTACTTCACTCATTTGTTCTATGTCTTTTATTGGCTATACATGTAGATGTATATACGTACTTCACTCATTTGTTCTATGTCTTTTATTGGCTATACATGTAGATGTATATACGTACTTCCAAATATTCAGTATTTCTGCTGTTGACAGGAAGTTTTTATTCTTCTGTTGGTAACCTTACTGATAGCAGAGTTAAGATTAAACCTGATTAACAGTGGCTTGAAGAGTGAGTGGACTGAAGGATGAGATGATGTTCACAATCCATGAGACTAGAGATTTATAAAAATTACGAGCAAAAGTTTTAAAACATTTTCAAATGTGCAGTGATTTTTTTTGGGGGGGGAGGGGGGGTTATTTGTGTATTATAAAGTGGATTGTATATGAACCTGTCAGGGACAGTGCTGTTTCAGTTGCTCTCACAGTGGAGTCTGATTATACATCATAGAAAGGTTGTTTAACTCTAAATTTGTGTCTGGCTGTGAGACTGGCCCTAGATAAGGATGAGAAACTTTGAATTTCTCTACTTTTGGGTGTATAAATGGATCCTTTTAATTTTAAGTCAATTTCAGAAAAACATCCCAAAAGATATCAAAGAATAACCCTTAAGTAATTTTTTCTAATAACCAAGTAACTTCCTGTTAGGTGACCTTGATTGAGATTAGTGCTGTTTATAAAGTGGTTTTGTGGGGGGTGCCTTTATGTACTGAGTCTGCTGAGAAGGCAAATGTACACCTGGACCCTCAGTTACTGTCTGGGTATGTCTGCACCTGCACTCAGTAGAAGTCTAACTGCTAATCCCATCTGTAGCATTTCAGGTTTCTGTCCTTTCAGAGATGGTGCCATTTAAGTTTGCTGATGAAGAGTGCGTGTGGCATTCATCCTCAAATGGAACCAACACGCTCCTTTTGAATACTCTATTAGTCATTCTGCTGTCTGCTGTGAGAAAATGAGTTAATTATTTTTCTCCTAGTAGTCTTCTCATTATTGTAATTTATATATCTCGCATCAAAATGCAAGGCATATTTGGGGTATGAGAGATTTTGGCAATGCATTCTGTTATAATTTTTGCCAAAACCTAGTGCCATATTTCACTTAGTTGAGAGCTTACTTGGTGACCATTCACTTCTCCCTTTATGCTTGTCCCCTCCATAGTACCTCCCTTTTTGTTGCTTCTGCAAATTTTCAGAGAGAACACGATGGCCTTATTTTTGTGGGGTGTCTCAAAGAACATAGGCTTACAAGTTTTAAAACTTNTTATGCAATCAAACGAAGAATTCTTCAGTGCTAAATGTAATGTACCGCTGGGGTGCACGAGTTACGCAGACTCATCTTTGTTCTGCATGGACACCCTGGACACCCTGAGGTCTTCGCTCATTTGTTCTATGTCTTTTATTGGCTATACATGTAGATGAATATACGTACTTCCAAATATTCAGTATTTCTGCTGTTGACAGGAAGTTTTTATTCTTCTGTTGGTAACCTTACTGATAGCAGAGTTAAGATTAAACCTGATTAACAGTGGCTTGAAAAGTGAGTGGACTGAAGGATGAGATGATGTTCACAATCCATGAGACTAGAGATTTATAAAAATTATGAGCAAAAGTTTTAAAACATTATCAAATGTGCAGTGATTTTTTTGGGGGGAGGGGGGGTTATTTGTGTATTATAAAGTGGATTGTATATGAACCTGTCAGGGACAGTGCTGTTTCAGTTGCTCTCACAGTGGAGTCTGATTATACATCATAGAAAGGTTGTTTAACTCTAAATTTGTGTCTGGCTGTGAGACTGGCCCTAGATAAGGATGAGAAACTTTGAATTTCTCTACTTTTGGGTGTATAAATGGATCCTTTTAATTTTAAGTCAATTTCAGAAAAACATCCCAAAAGATATCAAAGAATAACCCTTAAGTAATTTTTTCTAATAACCAAGTAACTTCCTGTTAGGTGACCTTGATTGAGATTAGTGCTGTTTATAAAGTGGTTTTGTGGGGGGTGCCTTTATGTACTGAGTCTGCTGAGAAGGCAAATGTACACCTGGACCCTCAGTTACTGTCTGGGTATGTCTGCACCTGCACTCAGTAGAAGTCTAACTGCTAATCCCATCTGTAGCATTTCAGGTTTCTGTCCTTTCAGAGATGGTGCCATTTAAGTTTGCTGATGAAGAGTGCGTGTGGCATTCATCCTCAAATGGAACCAACACGCTCCTTTTGAATACTCTATTAGTCATTCTGCTGTCTGCTGTGAGAAAATGAGTTAATTATTTTTCTCCTAGTAGTCTTCTCATTATTGTAATTTATATATCTCGCATCAAAATGCAAGGCATATTTGGGGTATGAGAGATTTTGGCAATGCATTCTGTTATAATTTTTGCCAAAACCTAGTGCCATATTTCACTTAGTTGAGAGCTTACTTGGTGACCATTCTCTTCTCCCTTTATGCTTGTCCCCTCCATAGTACCTCCCTTTTCGTTTACCTCCCTTTTTGTTGCTTCTGCAAATTTTCAGAGAGAACACGATGGCCTTATTTTTGTGGGGTGTCTCAAAGAACATAGGCTTACAAGTTTTAAAACTTAGGCTCGTAATCACTGTTTGACCCCAGGCCCAGCATTCTCATCTGTACATTACAGTAATGACCAATAATTCCTAGGTTGTTGCATTGAAGGTTAAATAACGTTTACAAAGAGTTAGCACAGCTTTGGAAACAGGTGCCAATAAAGGCTAATTTTTTTCCTACCCTCTCCTAAAATGAGAGAATTTCCGCCAATTGTAAACATCTACTCAAACTTTAACATTTTGTGATCTTCCTACCTTTACCACAGAGACATATTTTATAAGGTCTTTAAAGCTGGTGTAAAGCTAAGAAATAGCTGTGTGACTACACCACTT